ACAGAAAGGAAGTAGGTATCAGGTAAATTAGAAGAAATAGGCAGTAAATGCTGGTGATTGGAAAATGTGAGGAGCTACTCATTTGCATTTATCATTAAAGCTCCAAATGGTCAACTTGCAGCTTCTCTGAAAGATATAACCTTTTCACTGCCCATTACAGAGGCAATAATCTACTGGTGCCTACTTTAGGGGAAGCTCTAGCTCCCAACGACCCTGTGATGACATTGGGCCACCCAGATTATCTAGGACAATCTCCTCATCTCAAGATCCTCTATTTATTCATATATGCAAAATTCCTTTTGCTGCTTGAGGTACTATATTTACAGTTTTCAGGAATTAGGACATGGACATCTTTGAAAGAGTCATTATTTTGCCAACCACAGATCTCTTCAGTCAGTCAGGGCTTTAAACAATTCCATGTGTGGTAACTTACCTATGAAAAAGAATATGAATGGATAGATGTGCATCTCTTTATGAGTCTTTGCAAATAAACTGAGAAGACTCCATTTCAAACACCAGGATCAGACAAAATGACAAATGCCCAGCATATACACATTGGACAAAGATTATCTCCTGAAGCCATGCCATGATAAATTATCTGCTTATCAATAGCATCAGTGCCTTAAGAGACAGCATATTTGATTTTGAGTTGCTTGTAATAATATTAGAATAAGAGGTATTTTACTTTCAAATTGTGCTCAAGGGCCATCGCAGGGAGGAAGACAAACTGCTGGGGACACCTTTCCCTTTCTTTCCGTCCCATCCCTTGTTTCCACTAGAGCAACTCTGCTTTTATCTGTATTATGTGTATACTTTCTATTGGACAATTGGGCTAAATGGATTTTGGGGGTGGATGGGGTATATTTCAAAACTACTGACTCAGATGAAAATGATTCCTTCAATCCCCTAGCTGGAATAGGTTTAGGGTTCAGAGTGCCTGCCTCCTGTGGCTTTGTGTAGTAAGGGAAATATATTGTTCTGGTTCAGGAACCCTGGTTTCAGAGAGGAAAATGAGGAAGAGAGGTAAGAGAGGTGATTCATTATAACTTAATGAGTAAATCATATGTGGAACATTTTAAATTGTCTGATATAGAGACATTTAATCCCTATAAAACTGGAAGCCATGTTGATGAAATGTGTACAAGTCTCAATGAAAGACAAGGGTTTAATACAGAACTTTCCCATTGACCATCTTGGGCTACATGTCTTTGGAAAATTTTGAGCCTTGTGCAATATGTTGCCAAGATTAATACCCTGTGAACTTGCTTCTCAAATCCTTCCCATATCCTTTTGCTGCTACAAAGTCATTACCCATTCAGAACCTTTCCTTTTTGATGCCCACCCAGCTTGATTTAGTAGAATGGTCAATTTATAGTCCCTGTTTATTTATTGAGCAAGGAGTTTTCAGTTAAATTAGGATTAGAGTCAAATAGCACTGATGCAGATGTTTGGCTTTCTAGAGGCTGTTAATCTGAATTAGTAAAAAATATGATTCATAAAATATCCCTACACAAAATGTAGCTTTAAAAAAAAATTAATTGATATTAGAAAGAGAGGAAGGGAGAGGGAGAGAGAGGTGGAAACATCGATGATAGAGAATATCGGTTGGCCACCTCCTGCATGTCCCCACTGGGGATTTGGCCCCCAACCTGGGCATGTGCCCTGACCGAAAATCAAACCAGCAACCTCCTGGCCCATGGGCTCAACCACTAAGCCATACCAGCTGAGCCAGAAATGTAGCTCTTTTTATTTTACTTAAATTTTTTAATTAATTTATTTATTTTTGTTACAGATGTTTCTTCTTTTTCACCCACTGATTTCCCCCTTCCCCTCCCTCCCTGCCCTGTCCCCAGCTTTGTTGTCCATGTCCATTGTTCATTCACACATGCATATAAGTTCTGTGCTTTATCTCTTCCCCACCACCCCCTCTCCTGGGGATTGTCAGTCTGTACCCCTCTTCCATGTAGCTTTTAACCATACATGAGCATTGTGACTGGTAAAGTGTTGCCATTAGCAGGTCATTTCAAACCTGTCTTAAGGAGCAGATCATGCCAATGTCACCTCACACATTTTCTCTAAGGTCCATATACAGTCTTTCCCCAAATTTTCTATACACTTTAGTTTCATAATGACTGTTATCTTTGAGTTGGAAAACACCAATGATGACCCAATTCCACTTTGGATCTACATTAGGAATCATTCTTTATTTCCAGCTATCCCATGACCTAACAGTGTGAAGCTAAATGGCTAGCTGTAAAATTTTAGAAGGACTTGGTGATGTTGAAGGGAAATCTTCCTAACTAAATCTCTCAATCATTGCCCTTAGTTTTACCTTGGAAGGCCCTCAGAATAAACTGATGCCCTTTCCCATAAGACAGATCTTCATGTTTTTTTTTTGAAGACTATCATCATATGAACCAGTCTCTTACCAGCTCCAGAGTCTTCTTCAGGCAAAGTAATCCCAGTTTCAACATATGGCTTCCAGACTCTCTATCTTATGGTATCATATTGAAGGGCCTTTTAATTATGGTCAATTATTAATATATGGCTTCTGTCCAAACTTATAACCCTTTAATCACAATTCTAAAATTCAACAATCTCCAAGAAACATTATTTTCAGTAACTGAAACAAACTCATTTCATGACAAGACCTGACCTCAACTGATATGCAGATATTTATTTACATTCTTTATTTAGTCCTCTTTCTGTGACTGCTACTATAGCAACATTAATGAGTTTTATTAAGGGATGCTTCCCCAGATCCCACTGGGGTATTATACATATGGTATAGCAATCATATTATTTAAAAATTAAAAACAATATTAATATCAGAATTAATATGCCCTCCAAATGGCCTTAGATAAGGAGCTCCTGTATACAGACAGATGCATACACATTTTTACTAAAGCTAGTAAAGCTTTTATTTTTATTTAGCTAAGGAATAAGTTCATTCTGGTAAATAAAACATCTATACTTTGTGTATATCATCTCAGTCAGTTTTATGGGAATTATCCTTGAGATTATTTTGTTTCTTACAGAAATCTTTCAAAAGTAATTCAGTAAATGGAAACTCTATCCAGAAACATTCCAAAGTAAACCTAGACTCTACTTTAGGTTGATGATATTAGGATGACCAGAGTCCTTTGAGAAGCCAGAAATTAATGCATTAATATGAAAGAAAACTAGAAAACAGCCTTTTAACTTGAAAATAAAAATGTAAGTATGAGTTAGATCTTATCTCTCAATCCATCATCCAGCACTCTCAGTGTTGCTGATAATATGTTCTGTATTTGAAATTGTTGGACACACAGAGACACAGACACACATACACAGATATTTTATTCAAGAGATATAGTCCCCTATTTGTTCTGCTTCCTGTACTCTCTTGGTGTATTTGACAGAGGTGTGTACTTTCAGATAGCATTTACCTAGCAGATAGCATTTAAAACATGATTTTGCTATAAGAAAGAAAATACCTACCTGGGAGATTAAAAAGAGAGTCTTTAGAGACATGAGGCACATGTAATGAAAAGTCTATCTGCATTGATAGTGTCTGATGAAGAGCCCATGCTGGCTTAAAAGAGATCCTGTTTCTTTCCAAGAAACAGCTGAGTATGGATCCAGTACAGTAGGCAAGAACTGTCATTTTTAAGAAGAAAAGGCTCCCGTGGGGGTGGGGGGTGAGGGCAGGCAAGAAACAATGTCTTATGCTTATAGAGTGTTGAGCAAAGGGGTTCTTGTTTGTTTTTTGTTTTGTTTTTTAAGTTGAGGGTGGAGCCACATGACCAGGTACCCTCCAGGATCAGGCCTCGACTTTCCTGACTGAGCTGAGCAGGAAAGAGCTAGGAAGGAGCTGAAAGTGGAAGAGGCTCTAAGATTCTGATGGCCAGCCAGAAAGATCTGTGAGGCAGCCTCTGTACATCAGTGAATGTCCTCTAGGCCCCAGCCCACTTCTCACTATATTTAACAAAAAGGGGATTGGGCTGGTGAGACAGAGGGAGATGAGAACCCTCCCCCAAATTTAGATCCCCATTTCTGAGCAAAAGCAGAACAAAACTCAATCCAAAGAGATGGTGAGAAAAAGGACAGAAAGGTGATGACATGCCCCAGCATGCCAAGAGGCAGCTGAGGTGGATTTGTTATAGAACACAGAGAGCAAATGATTACTAAAGAAGAATACTAATTGTCAATAAATGCAGAGTGGAAAATGGTATCGGTTTTCAAATGTTTTGCTTGGTCAACTTTACAAATTTTAAATCAATCATTAGAGATGGTTGGTCCTTTATGATCATACCTCCTGATCAGAGTTTTACAAAGGGTTTACAAAAAATTATGGTGGAGGAGGTTAAGAAGTACATCCTCTGTGGCGCTGGGTGCGGGGTGGCTGGGTGCTGGGTACTGGGCACCCAGCAGTAAATATGCTTTACAAAGCCTCTGCCCTTTGAGGGAACTGTGAGAATATGATTATAGTATCACTTCTTGAACTAAGTATGAGGCAGAGACAAGCCCCTTCCCCTCTCTGGACCTCAAGTTCCTCCGATTAAAATGAGGATTGAACTCACCCCTTCTTGGTAGGAAGACTATACTGTGTGTATAGCTAAGATCAGAGCCCCTTGACAAACCTATGAGTTTCTGAAAAAGATGGCAACAGAAAATGAAAATTATCTTAGCTGGAAAAAAATGGGACCAGTAAGCATTTGTATCTCCATTCAATCTTGGCTTAAAATTTTCTTGTGGAGTGAGGGATGCAAGATTTTCTTGGGAGAGAAGGCAGTGTGGTGGAACCCAAGGAACTTGGTCACACACAGACCTAGTTGGTAACCTAGTTGAAACCTTTGACCATGGTCCCCTCACTGAGACTCATGTTTCCCATCTGTAAAATGGGATGAAATGCTCCACTTTGCCAGCATCTCACAGAGCATAGGTCCTTATGCTGAACTGGGCTCTTTCAGGTGGTTTGAGACTGAAGAAGGCAATGAATGATGTCATTTTTCTTTCAGCCCACTCTTGGCAAAGCCTCAGCCCCTACCTGCGGTGCAAGCCAGTGGCGGGTCCAGCAGCTCCAGTGACTCAGAGAGCAGCTCAGAGTCAGACTCAGACACTGAAAGCAGCACCACTGACAGCGAATCCAATGATGTGCCTCATGCGATCTCTCCAGAGGTGGGTGAAATGACCAGTGCTACAACCATGATTTGCCTGTCACTGAGGCAGGACTCAAAACACCCAGACATGTACACACACTTTCAGCACAGTAATTATTTAAGCACAATAAATACTTCAGAAAAGTATTCAGGTATTTTATAGCATTTTTTCTCTAAAACATACTATATATTCACACAATCTCTAACAGGTAGACTTCTTGCTGTATGACTCAGTTACTCTGAACCTTCAAGCTGCCTCACATGTTAACTGAAACAGTAATAACTGGGCTAGCAACTTCTTTCTTTAGAGAACTGTTAAAACCAGTCAAGACACATTTCTGGCCCTGGGGACACCATGCTTTACTCTGGGTTGATGCAATGAATCATCACTTGACAAATAACACACAAGAAACACCCTGACCCCTTTGGCTCAGCGGTTAGAGCGTCGGCCTGCAGTCCAGAGAGACCTGGGTTTGGTTCCCGCTAAGTGCATGTACCTCGGTTACGGTTTGTCCCCAGCGCTGGTTGGGTTCTGTGAGTGACAACCACTGGATGTGTCCCTTTCATGTTGATGTTTCTCTCTCTCTGTCTCTCTTCTTCTCTCTCCCTCCCACTCTATCTGAACAACAACAACAACAAAAAAGACACAAGAAGTGTGATGGTTGAAAAGTCACTTTTTTGTTGTTGTTTGTTTGTTCATTTGCTTTTTAATTCTGAGTGCATCCTTTGAGTGTGTTTGATAATAATTCATGAAAACAAACACAGGCCCATAAAATACTAAAATTATAATTTTGAAATGAAATAATGTGCCCTTTCCCTCCCATCCTCTCTGAGTCCAAGATAGCTCCTCAGTTCCCCCAAGCCTAAACTGTGTACAGCAAGCAGATCTCTCCATATCTCTTTACATACTTGTTTTTCAATAATCAGAAAAAAATAATGATATAAGTGCAGCAATAATAGTATTACTATTGATAATAGCTAATGCTTTTCAAACTTGGACAATGGGCCAGTATTTTGAGAAGCTCTTGACTTGCATCTTCTCGTTTCTTCCTCATTACAACCCTATGAGGTCCTTGCTATTATTATCCCCATTTTACAGATGAGAGAATAAGGTCCTGGCATGTTAAGAAAGAACTTTCCCAAGATCTCACAGATAGGCAATGGTAGAGTCAGGACTGAAACCTGGATCTGTGTGTTACCAGAGTTGGTTCCCTTAATGTCAGAGCTATGCTACCAACACACAGCTAATATAATTTCCTGGACCTTTAACTGTCATTGCCCTGTGCAGGTTGGAATCACAGCTACTCAAGTGTTTTTAATGATGTTACCCTCTAATGACTGGTTTTATAAACCTCAGCTGATGTCTTTCAGAAGAAGAGCAGTTCTAAAAAAATGAGGCTCTTTTAGTTCAATGGGCAGAATTCAGATTTAGGAATCAAACATCTGAATTGTATGCGCCATTTCCATGGCTTAACGGTGGACACCAATGTTGGCATGCATGTCCCCATACACCAAGGAAAGTGCCATGGTTTTTCAGAAGTCAAATATTTTTATCCTTCAGTAAAAATACAAAATTATTTTTGCAGTGAATTATAGCATCATATAGGAGGCACTGGCATTTTGGCAGATATAAAGACTTTTCTTTTGAATTACACTTGAGACATGCTTACATTTCTCTTTAGAACCAGAGATCATTACATCTGTACCTCTGCCACCTGGTAATAGATTAAATAATGAGTATTATAAAAATATTTTGGAAACAGGTTTTCCTTCCAAGCCTCCCTATACACTCTCTGAAAAAAACTCTCTGTGAATAATTATTTTATTCTTGGTCAGAGTGGAGAATATTTTCAGAAGAATAGTGGAAATTAGTGTAAATGAGTAGATCAGGGTTGATTTGGTTCTCTAGATAATTTGATTAATGTGATTTCTGTGTGTGTGTGGTTGTAAATGCATAAATGGTCACTGAACATCCAAAGCTTTTACCACCAGTGATTGTACTAAGAGTCCTCCTGAATCTTTCCCAGATGTGAAATTCATTCTCGCTGCTGTTTCTCAATCTGTAGCCTGAGCCGCCCTCAACCAACAAGTGGCAGTTGGATAAGTGGCTTAACAAAGTGACATCCCAGAAAAAATCATTTATTTGTGGTCAAAATGAGACACCCATGGAGACAATTTCTGTGCCTCCTCCAATCATCCAACCAATGGAAGTCCAGGTCAAAGTGAAGACAACTCCCATCCAGATACTGGTTGAACACAAAGAGAGGCCTCTCCCTAGTCTCATCAGGGAGAAAGCACGTCCATGGCCCACCCAGAAATCTCTAGAAACAAAGGCTTTGAAGCATAAGTTGTCAGAAACTATAGAAACAGCTTCTCAAAGGACAATTGGGAAAAAACAGCCCAAAAAAGTTGAGAAGAACACCAGCATCAACGAGTTTACCTGGCCCAAACCAAATATTACCAGCAGCATTCCCAAAGAAAAAGGAAGTGTGGAGCTTCCTGACCCACCAAGAGGCAGCAACAAAGCCAATGCCCACAAACCAGTCCCTAGGAAAGAACCAAGCCCTAACACCCCATTGGCTGCCGAGAAGAAGAATTATAGAGGGCCTGGCAAAATTGTGCCAAAGTCCCAGGAATTCATTGAAACAGATTCGTCTACATTTGATTCTAACACAGATCAGGAAGAAACCCTGCAGATCAAAGTCCTGCCTCCTTGCACTGCTCCTAGGGGCAATTTTGCCAAATCCAAGGAAACCTGTGGTGTTGGCCTGACCCTCGGCACCTTAATCACCAACAGCAGCAAGAATGAGGAGCCACCTTTTTTACCCATCCCTGTTATGCAAACTGAGCTTCTATCCTCTCTACAAGAGCAGGAGAATCCAAGAAATCTCTGGGTGAAGATTGACCTTGACTTACTATCTAGGGTACCTGGCTACAATTCATTCCAAGCAGCATCAACAAAGGTAGACCAGAAAGAAAATTCCTTAAAACCTAAGCGTCAGATTACTTCTGTAGCTGTGGAAAAACCTGCCCCTAAGGGCAAGAGGAAGCACAAGGTAAGCTTTTTAATGCTGTCTGCCAAGTGATCATGAGCAGTGGTTTTTCTTTGGCTAACTTGATCTTGAGTCTTGTTTTTAGGACACCAATGGCAGTAGAGTGCTGTCTTTGGTGAAGGCAATGATGCTCTCTATGGGAAATGCAGTATTTGACATGAACAGGGAAGAAGTATTAGAAATGATCAAGGTTTGGCAGCCAATGTAAAGAGTATCCAATATATTATAAGAGGGATTATGACATGTAGAAAAGAATAGAAGAGAGTCTCCTTCCCCAGGTTGTCAGTCTCTGGGTCAGCTCCTTAAGCAGCTCTTGCTTTCATGGACTTGGGCTATTATTTTACAGTCCTCCACCCTAGCAGCAGTCAATCCAAGTGTCCCTAAGGTCAAAAGGTATCCTCTGGACCTGGCTTGTTTTTCTTAACAAACATCAGCATCAGCATGATCCAGTTACACTTTGATTATTCTGGCTCCTTCTAGACATATGTTCTGCCCTGACCTGTGTCCCCTACATGTGTGGTTGGTTTGACTTGTGAAAATCTCTTCATAAGGCTAGGGTTGAATTCCAGGGTTACAAATTATAATCAGAAGGTAAGATGCACAATGGCCTTTTTTACTTCAAATTCATCTGGGGAAGTGAGTTTGTATGTAATGCATTCACTGTTATAGCTCTAGACATTATGGTAGATTTTTAGTGTAACATCATCTTATGGTGATTTGGGTAGTATTTTTAATGCCTGCCACGGTGTCTAGAGAGGAGGGTTCTTATTCTTTCCCCATTTCTTCTGTCTCTTCTCAGAAGAGATTTAAGAATGATCAGAAATGGCTTAGATTCTTCATTAGGGAACACCCCTACCTTTGGCCAAACCATACTTCTGAAAAGTATGCTGCACAAATGATTTAAGATTTCATTTAGCATTAAAGGTGTGCCTTGCATATGGTTAATTTTCTTGCATGTTGTTGATTGCATAAGTGACCTTTGTATGTTACTCACAATTCCCATGCTGCTTTGACATCACTTATGCCATATTAGATTTGCAATGTTAGTTTTTAAATTACTCATTTGTTAATGGCAGAAGTATCTGAAAAGTATAGATTCTCGTTACTTTTGGTATGAGATTCCTATGCTACCGAATCTTTAATCAGAGGTTCACATCACAGTTCAACTATCTCAAAATTCAACTTTTAGCCCTGGCTGTTATGACTTGTTTGGAGCATCGTCCCATACGCTAGAAGGTGGTGGGTTCAATTCTCAGTCAGGGCACATACACAGGTTGCGGGTTTGATTCCCAATTGGGTTGTGGAAGGAAGAAACCAATTAATGTCTCTCTCTCTCTCTCTCTCTCTCTCTCTCTCTCTCTCTCTCTCTCTCTCCTCTATCTCTCTGCACCTTCCCTCCCTCTCTGCCTTCCTCTCCCTCTCTCTCTCTCCCTTCTTTCCTCTCTCTAAAAAATCAATATAAATATTTCCAACTTTTGGGTAGGAGTAGGCTAAGCAAACCTAATTGCTTTTCTGTCTGATCAAAGGTGCAAATTTAACGCTTCTATCTAATCTAGCAGTTAAAATAGAAACAAACTGTCTACCTTGCTCATTGTTTTTAAAAGTCTGCATATGCCATGTATTTTAAACTGTGTATTTTTTCCTGTTAAAGGCAACAGAAGTTGTAGAGAAAATTCCTGAGAAGAAGCAACGCCTGGAGGAGGCCACTACTGTCTTCCTGCTCCCCCCTTGCATTTCACCAGCCCCAGCTCACAAACCTCCCTACACTAGAGAGTAAGTTTCCCTGTCTTTGTATGACACTTAAATTGTTCAGACTCTTTAAAAAAAAACATTTGGGGGTCTTGTCCCAGAGAAATGTTAAATAAAATACAAGAGTTTCTCATTCCAGTCTTGACTGCTGTACTTGGTCTAACAAAGGTAGGCTAAGGGGTGGAATATATAGGCTGCCAGATTTTTGGTGACAACCTGAGTTTTTAGCAACATTTTTTTTAACTCTAATTCAGAGTGATTATAAAAATTGGCCAACATGAACTTTTAGCACTAAGTGAAGGATAAAAGAAAGTAAGTGAATTAAAAATGGGCAGCATCAAGAGATACCTATCACTTGAATCAGATCACTTGCATCTGGGCTCCTCCAGTTCTGATGGTGATTAAACAATTTCCCTGGAAAACAACCCCTTGGACTTGACAGGATGACCCAGATGTAGCTTCCTCTGTTCTGTCATTATTTAACCTTAATATGAAGCTTGAGGATCAGTTGCCACATTCTGAACTCCTAAGAAGCCAGGGTAATGACATGTCTTGGAGGACCAGAGAGATGAGCTATCTTGGAGTGGCCCTCCCCTCGGCAGTTCTATGCTGGGAAAATCCAGCTAGGAATCCATAGGTTAATTCTATTCAGCTGGCACCTCTTCACCCTTCTCCCATTTTGCGGAAGGTGCCAGAGTCAGGAAGGAATTTTTCTTATTTCTTCCTCATTCAAACAACACCAGCTTCCCAAGAAAAGTGCTGCCCTCTTTATTTCTACCAAGCATTATGATTTTGTTTTTCTGTCCTATAAACATCACTTAACTAAAAACCATGTCAGTTACTGGCACCATTCCATCTGGATAATTATAGAAGTAAATTCATTCAACATTAGTGAATACTTCTATCAAATACCAGTTTTTGAGCCTATAAGCAGCCCACAGCAGAAAGGCAATCTGGCTAACTGCTGCTAACAATTGATTTCACAGATTATTGTTTTTTTTGTTTTGTTTTGTTTTTTACACTTATTTCTTTTTATTAGTATTATGATTATTAATTTATTTAATTTATTTATTTTTGTTACAGATGTTGTTCTTTTTCCCCAGACCGATACAACCCTCCCCCTCCCTCTCCATCCTTTCCCCAGCTTTGTTGTCCAAGTCCATTGTTCATGCATACATGCAAATAAGTTCTGTGGTATATCTATCCCCCCCACCCTCTCTTTTCGGGATTGTCATCTGTACCCCACTTCCATGTCTCTGGGACTACCCCATTACTCAGGCTGTTATGTTCATTATATTCCATATATAAGTGAGATCATAGGCTACATGTCTTTCTCTTTGGGGCTTGTTTCACTTAGGATAACACTTTCCAGGTCCCTCCATGTAGTCTCAAAGGATACAAGATCTTTCTTTCTTATAGCTGCACAATACTCCACTGTGTATATGTACCACAGATTTTTTATCCATTAGTCCACTGATGAACATTTGGGCTGTTTCCAGATCTTAGCTATTGTAAATAGTGCTGCTACAAACATGGGGGTACATATATTCTTTCTGATTGGTGTTTCAGGTTTCTTAGGGTATATTCCTAGAAGTGGGATCACTGGGTCAAATGGAAGTTCAATTTTCAATATTTTGAGGTTACACCACATTGTTTTCCATACTGGCTGCACCAGTCTACGTTCCCACCAGCAGTATACTAGAGTCCCCTTTTCTCCACACCTTCGCCAACACTTGATGTTTGATGATTTGTTGATGGCGGCCATTTTGACAGATGTGGAGTGATACCTCATTGTTGTTTTAATTTTCATCTCTCAATTGATAAGTGATGTTGAGCATTTCTTCATATGTCTCTTAGCCATTTGTATGTCCTGTTTAGAGAGGAGTCTACTTAGTTCCTCTGCCCATTTTCTAATTGGGTTCTTTGTCTTCCTTTGTTGAGCTGTAAGAGCACTCTATATATACTGGAAATTAACCCTTTATCTGATGTATCATTGGCAATTATGCTCTCAAATAGAGTGTGTTGCCTTTCCTTTTTGGTGGTTTTTTCTTTTGCTGTGCAGAAACTTTTGAGTTTGATGTAGTCCCATGTGTTCATTTTCTTTTGTGTTTCTGTAGCCTTAGGTGATGTATCAGTGAAAATTCTACTGCGCATGATGTCTGAAATTCTGTCGCCTACATTTTCTTCTAGGATTTTTATGTATTCATGAGTCACATTTAAATATTTTATCCATTTTGAGTTTATTCTTGTGTAGGGTATAAGTTGATGGTGTAGTTTCTTTCTTTCTTTCTTTCTTTTTTTTTGTGCATATAGCTGTCCAATTTTCCCAACACCATTTATTAAAGTGGCTGCCTTTACTCCACTGTATGCTCCTGTGACCTTTGTCAAATATTAATTGAGCATATTGCCTTGGGTTCATTTCTAGATTCTCTGTCCTGTTCCATTGATCTATCTGCCTGTTCTTGTGCCAGTACCCGGCTATTTTGATTACAGTGGCTTTGTAGTATAACCTGAAATCTGGTAATGTAATGCCTCCAATTTTGTTCTTCTTTTTCAAGATTGCTGTGGCTATTCGGGGTCTTTTTTGGTTCCATATATACTTTTGAATTATTTGCTCTAGTTCTGTGAAGCATGTCGTTGGTATTTCAATGGGGATTGCACTGAACCTATAGATTGCTTTGGGTAGTATGGACATTTTAATGATGTTGATTCTTCCAATCCATAAACAAGGTATGTGTTTCCACTTTTTTTATATCTTCCTCTATTTCTTTTTTCAATGACCTGTAGGTTTCTGTGAAGGAGTCCTTTATTTCTTTGTTTAAGTTTATTCCTAGGTATCTTAATTTTTTTGCTGCGATCATAAATGGGATTTTTTTTTTTTTTTAGATTCTCTTTCTGTAACTTTATCGTTGGTGTATAAGAATGCCATCAATTTCCTGACGTTAATTTTGTATCCTGCTATGTTACCAAATATTTTTATTAAGTCTAGTAAATTTTTGCTGGAGTTTTTGGGGTATTCTATGTATAGTATCATGTCATCTGCAAATAATGACAGTTTCACTTCCTCCTTTCAAATTTGGATACCTTTTATATTTTCTGTCTGTCTGATTGCTGTGGCTAAGACTTCCAATACTAAGTTAAATAAGAGTGGCATAAGTGGGCCTGCTTGTCTTGATTCTGTTCTTAAGGGAAATTATTTTAGTTTTTGCCCATTTAGTATGATGACGGCTTACGTCTTTCATATATGGCCTTTATTATGTCCAGATATGATACCTCAATTCCCAGATTGCTGAGCGTTTTTCTCAGAAATAGGTGCTGGATTTTGTCGAATGCTTTTTCAGCATCTATTGATATGATCATATGATTTTTATCTTTCATTTTGTTTATGTGGTGTATCACATCAATTTGCGAATATTGTACCAGCCTTGCATTCTTGGGATGAATCCCACGTGGACATGGTGAATAATTTTTTTGATGTATTGCTGGATTCCATTTGCTAGTATTTTGTTCAGGATTTTGGCATCTATGTTCATCAGGGATATTGGTCTGTAGTTTTATTTCTTTGTAGTGTCTTTTTCTGGTTTTGAAATTTGGATTATGCTGGCCTCATAAAATGAGTTTGGAAGTCTTCCTTCTTCTTCAATTTTTTGAAATAGTTTGAGTAGAATGGGTATTAGTTCTTCTTTGAATGTTTGGTAAAATTCCCCTGTGAAGCCCTCCGGGCCTGAGCTTTTGTTTGCTGGGAAAGTCTTGATTACATCTTCAATTTCTTTTGTTGTTACTGGTCTGTTCAAGTTCTCTATTCCCAGTTCAGTTTGGGGAGACTATGTGCTTCTAGAAATTGGTCCATTTCTATTAGATTGTCATTTTTGTTGCCGTATAATTCTTCATAGTAGTTGCTAACGATCTTTTGTATTTTTTGGTGTCATTTATTATTTCTCCTCTTTCATTTCTGATTTGTGTATTTGGGTTCCCTCTCTTTGTTTCCTGGTAAGTCTAGTTAAGGGTCCATCAATCTTGTTTATCTTTTCAAAGAACCAGCTCTTTGTTTCATCGATCCTTTGAATTGTTTTCTGTGTCTCCATGTCATTTATATCTGCTCTGATCTTTACTGTTTCCTTCCTTCTACTTGCTCTGGGGTTTTCTTTTTGTTTGCTTTATAATTCTTTAAGTTGTGAGGTTAGGTAGTCTCTTAGAAATTTTTCTTGCTTCTTGAGGTAGGCCTGCAGTGCTATGAACTTTCCTCTCAGAACTGCATTTTCTGCATCCCATATATTTTGTGTTGTTTTGTGTTCATTTTCATTGGTTTCCCAGAAGTTTTTAATTTCTTCCTTGATATCCATGGTAACCCATTTATTGTTCAATAACATGCTATTTAGCTGCCAAGTTTTCAAATGTCTTTGTATCTTCTTGTTGCAATTGATTTATAGTTTTATTCTTTGTGATCTGAGAAGATGCTTCATATGATTTCAGTCTCCTTGAACTTGTAGAGACTTAGTTTGTGCCCTAACATGTGGTTTATCTTTGAGAATATCCCATGTGCACTTGAGAAAAATTTGAATTCTGCAGTTTTTTTGTGTAATTTTTTGTAGATATCTATTAAATCCATTTGATCTAGCGCTTCATTTACAGTCTGTGTTTTCTTGTTAATTTTTTGTCTAGAAGATCTATCCAATGATGTCAATGGGGTGTTGAAGTGCCCTGCTACGATTGTATTGCTGTTAATTTCTCCCTTGAAGTCTGCCAGAAGATTTTTAATATATGTTGGTGCTCCTGTATTGGGTACATATGTTTACCAAGGTTATATCTTCCTATGAGATAGATCCTTTCAATATTATGTAGTGGCCTTCTTTGTCTCTAGTTATGGCCTTCATTTTGAAATCTACTTTATCAGATATGAGTATTGCTACCCCATCTTTTTTTTTTTTTTTTTTGCTTTCTGTTTGCTTGAAAGATTATTTTCCATCCCTCCACTTTCAATCTATGTGAGACTTTTGTTGTGAGGTGGGTCTCTTTTAAAGAAA